TTGGAAGGAGAAAAAAAATAACTAAAACAAAATATCCCTTCACCTCAAAAAAATGTACACTTTTCCTTTGCTTTGTTTCTTTATACTCCACATCTGTGCAAAATCATCTGGTATTTCCATTTTCCCTCTGACTATAGAACCGAGGCTACCAGACTGAAGGGTAGAGAGTAGGCAACAAAGTTGGGGACTCTGTTGGAGGTTTACTGGTGCTTTAGTTTTGGATGCGGGGTGGTAACTTACATTTGGACAGGTGTAAATCTGTACCCTTAAAAATATATACAGGGTTGCATGCCAATATTACTTCAATAGAAACAATTCAATTTAAAAAAGAAACAATAAAATATGTAGTGTACACACATTTTTTTTTTAATTAAAAAGATGTGAACAATTGATTATGCTCATTGTTCACCAACAATGACTGTGTATAAGTTGAGCATTATTTAGGTTTTTTGGTTCCTTTCTCTCTGCTTGGTGCCTGTGCCCCTTGGTTATTTTACTGCTCACCAGCAGCTTTCTTAGCTGCTCCTCAAGTTAATCAACTGTGAGATGTGTCTGATTAAGTTTGGTGTAGAGAGGAAGTTGAAAACATTTGCTGACATAGATTTGGGGCCTATTGATAATTTTGACGTTGGGGACTTGCAGCAACTTTGGCACAGGTAAAAGGCATTAAATCTCATACGATTCTGAAAATTCCCGGGGCTTATTTTAATGGCGAGGCATAGTCTCACCATAGAGTACAGATGGAGCCTTCCTATTTACTTTTACAGCTCACCTCTTTAAGAGAGAAAGTTCACAATGGAAAATAGCAGCGAGAGTCAGAAGACTTTAAAAAGGAAGCTGTTAGGGCGGCAGTAAAATCTGGCCAGGTAAATTTTTTTTTTTCTCTCTCATTAGGTTTCAATATTCTTTAGTATTATGACTTATCCAAAACAGACTAGTATTGAATCAGAGCTTTCAGTTTTTCAAAAATTATGACATGTTTGTCTAAGCTTGAATAACTATATTCTGAGCTTGAGCTTTAGCAATTCTTTTATTAACATTTTCAGAATAAGAACTTCAGAAGTAAATGTTTGAGCTATGCCATTAGTTAGGTCATCTAGAAATTTATTGAACTTGAAATTAATTGAATCTCTTTAATAGCTCCATCAGTATAGAAACATGAGTTCTTATGTTGATGTATTTTTCTAAAAGAAACCCTTTTTATTATGAAACTTTCCAAACAACCAAGAGTAAAAAGTACAATAAACTCCCATGTATCCAAGAACCTGGCTTAAATAACCATCAACATTTTGCCATTCATGTTTGTGTTTTAATAATCATGATGGCTAGATACAAACAGGAAGAATCATGTGTTTTGTTTTTTTTTAAGATTTTTTAATTTATGCACACAGAACTGGGGTACAGGCCAGAGATGCAGGGGAGGTGAGAGGATTCACCAGAGACGATGCAGGGGCAGTGAGAGGATTCACCAGAAACAGAGTGGGAACAGACCAGGCAGATTATCGAAGTACACTGCTGAGGGGAGCAGCGGGCGGGTCAGGAGAAGTTTGCTGCACCATGTGGGTCACCT